TCACCAAAGTTAAAACTCTTTAAGGCTTCAATAATAAACCTATGGTCGACCGAATCAAATGCCTTGTGAAAATCTAGAGACACTAGAACACTGACATATCATTCTGTTTAGAGTACCACATAAGATCAAGAACTGTTCGTATAGCATCCCCGATGTAGCGGCCTTTTACAAATGCACATTGGTCTGGATGAATTATGGAAGGCAAGACATTAAGCATACGCTTTGCAAAAGCTTTGGATGCAATTTTAACATCTACATTTATTAAAGATATTGGCCGATAATTTGAAATATGTGTTGTGATGACACCCTGTTTTTGTGACACCCCCAATAGACCTTTATGATATGAATAATTAATACTATTAAGCAAATACCTTCCTATTACTGGCCAAAATGTCTTATAAAAATCAGCAGAGAGACCATCGTTCCCTTTAATTTAATTGCTATATCATCCGATAGGGAGCTGGTCACACAGCTCTGTTACATATAGTCCGGCACGTGAAATATGGTTTCTGTGGCGAAATGCGCAGTGACATTTATTTTGGGAACTGTCGCTTTAGCACAAATTATTCAAAGAATTAACAAAATGTTATTCCTAAGCATATACCACCCCGGACATTGTGAGTCGGCGGCCACATGGCGCACTGATTTATGCTAATCCAAATACAGTTCAATCATATGCTATGTTCGTCACTCGTCAAACTGATGTTATTTGCAAATGGAAACCACGTTGAAACGATTGTTGCAATACTAGAGCCACGTAATATGTGTATGTTACCAATGAAAAGCCACGAGAGATCAAAACAAAACAACCTTTAAATAAAAAAGTGGAAACATTTGTCTGTTAGGAATGCTGCGATGTTTGGTGTTTTTGTGTCAACTATTCTCGAAGCACTGATTTTCAGCACAACACAGACAACATTATTGATAATAAATAATGACTTGTATATTACACGCGTCTCCAATAATGACTTGTATATTACGCGCGTCTCTAATAATGGCTTCTATAATATACGCGTCTTTAATAATCACAGATATATTACACGCATTCCCAATGATGACTTGTATATTACGCGGGTCTCCAACAATGACTTGTATATTACGCGGGTCTCCAATAATGACTTGTATATTACGCGCATCTCCAATAACGACTTGTACATTAAGCGGGTCTTCAATAATGACTTGTACTGTATATATTACACGCGTCTCCAATAATGACTTGAACGTTACGCGCGTCTCTAATAAAGGCTTCTATATTATATGCGTCTTTAATAATCACAGATATATTACACGCATCCCCAATAGTGACTTGTATATCACACGCGTTTTCAATATTTACTTGTATATTACATGCGCCTACAGACTCGGTGTACCTGCAACGTAAGCCTTATTCATTCTCCGGTCTCAATGTGAATAATGGCGTGATTTTCGTTAATATAACGAGGTCGCATGTGTGTTATCACAATACTCACCAGAGAAGGGGTAAAAACTGATTGATATGGAAAACACGCCGTAATAAACGATATAGTCAGCAGTACAATGCGATACCCAATTGTTAGATTTGTATAGACTGCAATGGTAGATCCAGTAAATGCGTTGACGTGTTTTGTTTTATGCAGACGATGACATCACCAATCTACCACAGTCAATAGTATATAATACATTTACATATACAGCAAGTCTGTGTCACCAAGGGTTGGGTGGAATGCACAAGTGGTGCAAATTAAAATTAAATTTGAGAAATACACTACAGCTAAAACTACGAACGCAAATAACTTGGAGTGTTCGAAGACCTAATGACTAGACATTAGACTGATCGCATGTATGGAACAGTGTCTGGGTTCCCCCTTGCTTCTACCCTGGTCTGACCCTAAATCATAAACACGTGTTACCGTTTGTTATGTTGAGTATTGTCACGTGACAACGTGGTAACAGGCTGCCGCTTGTTCTGTACCGAGAGCAATATGAGATCGCCAGTCAGTAGTACAGTGCATTGATGGCGTAGTTATTAGTAACATTTTTAATTTTTTCAACTCCTGACAAAGTAAAACGACATGCAAATTTGTTATGTTGAAATACTGGTAATATATATATTATACATATTATTGGCGTGGTGTGGCTTTGCGCTCGTGGATGAAAAGCTGTAAGTAACCCGTGACCTGGCTTAATGAGTTAAACCGTGATAGTTGAAAGACCGTCACACGTGATACAATATAATTTAATCTATTCCGCGTGACCACAAATAGAAGAGGTGGCAATACTTGTTACTAGTATTATTCGCATGCTCGTCGAATTTAAAAAAAAAGTGGAAAAGTATCGTTCCCGATTGTCGGTTATACAATTATGTATTAGTGTTATTCTCTACATTGGGCCACAGTCGCTCTATCACTGGGGGACTGTGGTTGGGTATTTGAAGAAAACGTAGCAATTTAGGATTATTCATATTTATGTGTTATACATTGGGAGGTTTAATATTTTTCGCGAAAACTTCGGTGTCACAATTTGACTATATTTTATATATTTTCCTTGTAATGGTTTGTCAGTTTTGGACTAAGTGGGCATAATCTCGAAAACGACACCGTTGGCGCTTTGGTTTTCGTATTTATTAACGCGTTTTGTCCTGTTGATGTCAAGCGAGGGAAAGGTCGGTGTCGATTTGCATACCCTGAGTTGATGGTACATATTGATTTGTCACGTGTAGCATGACAATGACGTGTGATATTGTCGATATCACAGACGTTACCACCAATTTGCTTGGTCCTTATGCCCATTTTCAAACTGTGACGTAACTAGCTGGCCCACGCCAAAATATGGCTCGTTGCCGACTGAATAATATATATCTGTAATAACTGTTTGTAATATCGTAAGTCCGAATATTCCCGGAATATACCGATAGTTTCAGACACTAGGTGGCGTTTTTTTCTTTTAAAGTCAATAATTAGTGTGGTCCGAATGTGGTCTGGCGCCAGGCTAAAAATCCCGCTAGGAATTGAAATTGAACACCTCTCCTGTTTAAAAGATTTGGTTATTTTTTTCCTATAAAAGAATGGGTCCCTTTTAGGGTGCATTAGGGTTGATGTCGTGTACCATATGTCGTATATATAGTGCATGTTTGTGATACACGTATGCAAACAAAACACTGACCCAAAAATAAACAGATAATTCAGGGCATTATTTTTAACATTTCGAACAACCATATTTTCTCATTTCTACTGGTAACAAAACTGGAAATATTAAACGCGTCACTGAATTATCACAATAGCCTACTTGACCAACAAAGAAGAAACACTCCCTAGACTGACCTGTAAGTTAGATACATATTTTATACAATTTATCCATTTTCACAGCTGTTTATAGTACTGTATCGGTGAAGTCAAAGCAGCCCAGAAAAAGAATTTCGATCAACATTGCACGCCATGTCTGAAACCACAGTATGCTAGAGATATATTCCTATGATGTTTTTTTGTGGATACTATGAACAACCATTTTACAACTTCACTCACTTTCTACCAAAAAAATGGACCGTACGTATTACTAAGTAATATAAACTTTCAAGTTCTTGCAACATTTTTAAATACTCGACCCGTGTCGTGTGGACATGAAATATATATGTAGGGAACACGTATCAATGGATATGTGCATCTCATGAAAAACACTTATTGAAAAATCGATGTATATGTTTGAAATGCCCAGCCATTTAATTTTCGACACATTAATTAGTATTATATTGATATTATATGTCCAACAAATTCTATATATTTGAAGGCCATGTTAATTGAAAATGTCGGGCTGATGTGATGTCGCGTATGTATGCCTGCCTGCATATATTACAGTGCCACATTTAATATTTACACTATGATGATAGTGTTTGTCCGACAAGTCTAGATGTTCTGAGTAATGTAAGTACGTAAGTATTTCAGCAAATATCACTGTGTCACAATTCATATTCACATTATGTTGATATTGTGTCCAAAAATATTTTTTTAATATTTGAAAGCTATGCAAATCAGTCATTTCAATGCTCATCAGATTCTACCCCATAGATTCATAGATATATTTAACAGATAGTTATATCAAGTTCAGCCGATCTACGGAAAGCGCCATGAAATATATATGTAGGGAACACGTATCAATGGATATGTGCATCTCATGAAAAACACTTATTGAAAAATCGATGTATATGTTTGAAATGCCCAGCCATTTAATTTTCGACACATTAATTAGTATTATATTGATATTATATGTCCAACAAATTCTATATATTTGAAGGCCATGTTAATTGAAAATGTCGGGCTGATGTGATGTCGCGTATGTATGCCTGCCTGCATATATTACAGTGCCACATTTAATATTTACACTATGATGATAGTGTTTGTCCGACAAGTCTAGATGTTCTGAGTAATGTAAGTACGTAAGTATTTCAGCAAATATCACTGTGTCACAATTCATATTCACATTATGTTGATATTGTGTCCAAAAATATGTTTTTAATATTTGAAAGCTATGCAAATCAGTCATTTCAATGCTCATCAGATTCTACCCCATAGATTCATAGATATATTTAACAGATAGTTATATCAAGTTCAGCCGATCTACGGAAAGCGCCATATTCCTTGAGTATGTCTTTTGTGGTGTTTAGTATTTTACGATTCAACAGTGAAAACACACGGTCAGCTGATGTTTTAATGCCTAATTTCGAGTGCAATTATCCGAACATTTTCTTCCCCTGGCAACCCTAAGCGGTGAAAACAAACGTATTTAGGCTAGTTGTTTAGACTTTCCTGAACAGTGTAACACGATCCCTCCCTACATGTGCAACATATATACATTTGGTTGTTCAGGATTGTCTAACAGTTGAATTTGTGCTATTTTCGCGACTTAAGCCGTTTTCCTTGGCTCTTTGACCAGCGTTTCATAGCAGCTCGACCAGTGCCGTTGGAAATACATCAAGTAGAGTCACTGTGGTTCGCATCCTAGCAACATAGCACCTCCTATAGAGAAAATGTGTTTTGACGCTCGTTTCATACACGCCAGTTGGATAAAGAAATATTTGTTTCCATAATGAGTTATTGTGGGCTCTACGTCTGAACATTTGTCTAACATTTTGGAATATTTTATATCCAACTTGAATCAAACTAGATATCACAGCATAACGTCAATTACATTTTGTTTTTCATAAATGCTGTTTTCTGGCTGGTTGATGTGCATGTTAGTTTTCATTCCAAAGATACGTCTATCTCACAGCTCTTATACTCATTGCCCCTCTCATTGCCTATTATTACTTGTGCATTTCATCAATTAAATCGATTAATGACTTTAGTTAATAAATATATTAGTTGTTACATTATATAATAGCCTAGTGCGATTTTTACCATTAGACACAGTTTGCAATATAATATACACGAGTAACATCTCAACTTAACAACCTATTTTAGCTTCATCTTAAATACAAAACACTTTCACGGTAATATGGTCGTTGTGGCTTGGGTGGGACAAGAAATGCGGTTTATTGATCCGTTGATTTAAAAGATATGACAAAAGGACCACCCAAGTGTTACCGTTTTAGGGGTTTCATCATTGTTGTATTTCGTATTTGCGAGTATGACGAGAGAGAAACCTAAAAAGCTGTCGATCCCGTTTACTGTACTGTAATCTTCAGTGTACGTGAACAAGTTGTTCTTGTCGCAAAGAGTAACGGTTTCCTCAATACATGTGTATGCGTGAGTCGATTTCTCCCTCCCTCCTGAATCTGTAATTGGGATCGACATGTTGACAAGAAATGATATTACGTGTCGGTAAATGTACCCTTCAATTCGATAAATACTGGCTAAATAAATACATTCTAAAAATAATTAAATGCATCAAGCCCCTTCCATTACATTACAATGGTTACATTGTCATTGTTATAGGAGTATTTATGCGTTGTAATGGTTGCAAAACATGTTACAAGTCTGCTGGGATTTTGCGGTCACATGACTTTCGCATTCACCCCTCGTTTACGCAATTTATATTTATTTTTCAAGAATTTTACATCGGAATCGCAACAAACTGCAAGCAAGTCTAGGCCCGACAAAGCTCAACTAAAGAGACTTCATGGTTCCTCACAAGAATCCTATTTACAAATTGTTCATTTAACATATGCATGAATTTACAGGACATTTACACTTCTTACCACTACAAATCCCAGCCAACAAAAATTGAACGGCTTTGCAATTACAGCTGAAACCAATTCCCGGAAGAAAAATAATAAGAATAGTTATAATCGGTACAAAAACGATTAGCATGTCGGTGAGACGTACATTGTGACTACAATAAATCACTTCAACCCTAGTAATAATCAAAAATAGGCTTGCCAGCAATCCTAATAAACACAGCAATAACAAAAAGACCTTCACCCAGTTTCACCCCCATAAGGCTTGTCACGATCTTACTAAAATAAAACTGACGTACATAAAAACACTACTTTTTATTTGTATCAAATGCACTCCGAGTCAAAATGCGCAGACAATAGTGACAATTTCAATAAACTTCAAAGTCAATTGTGCCCTTTATTGCGACGTTTTTTTGTTAAGAACAATGAAGTAAAATTACTTTAACAAAGCCCTGGATAAAATATTAGGCAGCAATGTTTAGTAGCATAATTTTTTGAACTAAATTCTATTTTCATTTTGTTCAGGACACTTGAAAATGTTTCTGTGCCACATCGGAAATTATGTGCATCGACTGCCAACAGTGATAGCTCGCCAATTTTCCAAAGTGGTCATCACATCACATTACGTATCACAGCACCTCGTCTCATAAGAATTACTATCCTAGTCGTAAAGGGGTTACAGGAATATATCCACGCCTAGATCCAATCGTGTGGACGAGGAATGGTGCGAGGGCAGGGGGACCAATGTCGCCCGAACAACTGGATGAATATGAAGAAAGAGGGTTTATCGCACTACACGACTTCTTCACGAGAGATGAGCTGAAACCGGTCATTGAGGAAGTAACACAACACACATACGAAATTCAAAACAACATCACTTATGGCGATGACCCAACGATCACTGATAAGTGTCACTTTGTCACGGAACCGGGTACAAACAAATTACGGAGTGTCTATGGGGCGCATAACACGCTTGCATCCGTGGACAATCTCTTACGCAGCAGAAAAATTGTTTCCCATGTTCATCAGATATTAGGAGATGATGTGTATCTTCACCAGTGCGCGATCAATTTTCACCAAGCATTTACTGCTACTGGATATACATGGCATAGTGATTTCGAAATATTTCACGCCGAAGATGGCATGCCAAGGATGAGAGCGCAAACGTGTATTATAATGTTATCAACGAATACATGCGAGTCTGGGGCGATTATGGTTATACCGAAATCGCATAGAGTATTCTTAAGCGGCGCTGTTGAAACACCGGCTGACCACCTTACCACGGCCTCTAAGTTCAAATTGACGGCTGGAGAAACCGATAACATGTTAGTTGCTAATTTGGCAAATGCATATGGTATTGAGTATTGTTTAGGCGATGTTGGGTCTGTCGTTTTTTTCGATGTAAATTTGATTCATGGTAGTCATAGCAATCGTTCACCATGGAATCGTGTTAATATATTACCGGTATATAACAGTGTGAATAATAAATTGGTGAACGCGTTTAGTGCTCCATGGGATGCCAGACCCGAGTATATGGGGTCGCGTAGTCCCGAGTATGTGAAACCAATTCTGCTTGATAAGTGATCCTGGTGGCAATTTAAAGCGGGAGGGTCGTCACCTGCGCACGCGCGGGAATTGAGTCCCAAGCGATCATAACAACACACGCTAAAAACGCAATGGCCTATGGGTAGACGCTTGTTTGTAAACAATGACACGCTATGGCCATCTGGCGCATGCGCAGGTGACCACTCCCGCCCTTTAACGTATTCATTACAACAGAAAGGTGTACAAAAAGAAATAATTTGACGTTATTTGCATAATTCCTTGGAACTTAGAAGCCGGCTTTGATCAGTAACATCTCTTCATTTACATCTCTAACCAGTGAATCATTCAGTTCAGCTAGTTTTAACTTTACAGCGTTTAACGATCAAGTACAAGTTTGTGACTTCTACAAGCCATTGATCTCCAAATGTCTATGCATTATTTTGTTCACAGTCATATGATCGCTCAAATTAATCTTTTGTTCATTTTCATTGAATAATGTCAAACCAATGTCGAATATTGATTGCATGGATTTGCAATCTTGACTTGAATTTATTGTTAAACTAAGAGCTAAGTTTGTATGACCCATCTGAGGTAAAAGATTTGTAGGTTCTCTAATATCTCTTTCGAACATATTATTATACACTTATGTGCATTTGAATAGCCAAAGTTTTTAAAGAGACATTTAAGTATTTATGTTAATTATTGTTTTGGGGTTTGAGGGTAGTTATATATTTGTTTAAAGGTTTAAGAGTATTAACTTGGAAACCAGTTTTTGGTAACATTTATTGAAAAATGAATATTGGGAAAAGCTTACATATAATTATGAATAATGTACATTGAAGTTTCACTCAAGTCAAGTGTGGTATAAACTATATTCTGTATTTGGTGAAAAGGGGGCAATAAGCTCATGTATGTAGGCATGTAATTCCTCAAACCATGAATCGTTGATAGAAATTATATATATCATGTATTCTTTGTTGTTGTGCCATTTTCAGAATAAAATTAAGGGAATGTCTTAAATTAAAACCAGAACGATTACGGATGGAGATTATGTATGTATATGTGTCATTGCGTTCTGTTCCTGATACATCTGGTAATTGGTTTCATCGACCTCGAGCACTACTTGTATATCGTTTAGTTAAACCCACGTCATTATTCAATCGACCAATAGGCGCTCTGCACGGCATAGCATACTGGATGAATAAAAAGTGCCAACATATCCGAATGTACTCAAATTATCACTTTATTATTATGTAGGTCATCAAAGTTGTCTTATTTTCCGTAAAAAAAATGTTATTTTTGTAAATTTTCACAATAACTTAACAGCAAACACTTTATTTTAGAAAGTATTAGAAAACATATTCATGGGTGAAATGAACAAGAATTACTATAATCTATCAATTCTTCTAATTCAATTAGATAGTGAACCACCAGTTATGAACCATAATGATTATTTAAACAAACAAAAATAGGCCAGTACTGTGGTACACTCATTCTAGGCTTCAGTGCTGTAGGCTCTCCACCGTAGTCAAGTATTTGCACCACTATACATAGGCTGCAAGTCGTTTAAGTTACATTATAGGGACGACCATGAGAGCGCTGTTCATAGTTCGGATGCGATAACGTCATACGGGGGGTTGAATGACGTCACAATGGGGGAACGTGCATAGATTAGCATAAACGATGACGTCATAAATGGGAATTCCTGCATAAATTAGCATAAATGAGCGACCATGGCCGTAAAGGGGTTAATTTGCATAAGGATTACGTCACAATGGGATATTGTGAATACATTTGCATACATAGAATTGATTTGAATACGAGGTCGTAAGAGGTCATCGTGAATACATTTGCATAAATTACCATCATTTTTTTCCAATTTTTTAATTATTTTTTAATTGGATTTTTTTAATTGGACGAGCATGGACGTCACGAAAGATTTTTCAGAATGTATCGTAGAGGGCGCTCACGCACACACACGCACACACTCACACGCTAATAAATACACGTCATTTTTATACACAAAAGATGGGTAAAACTACTAAGATCAGTGACATGGAACATATATTTTTTTATGTTTGAGTAAATAATAAAAAAAATGGATTAAAAACTGAGTAATATATAAGAATGATATTATTTGTAATATTTAAGAATGAAAAATGACATGTTAAAATGGTTGAAATACATAGAGTATACATTTTCAAACCCGGTTAAGTATTTGATTATGAAACTGACAAAAAAAGGGTAAAACTAGTAAGATCAGTGACATGGAATATACATTTTTTTTGTTTGTTATTGTTTTTTTGTTTTTTTTTTGTTTGAGTAAATAATCAAATAAATGGATTAAAAACTGAGTAATATATAAGAATGATATTATTAGTAGTATTTAAGAATAAAAAATGACATTTTAAAATGGTTCAACGATAGAGTATACATTTTCAAACGCGGTTAAGTATTCACACTGAGTAAATCAGAATCAGATTTTTTTTAATTTATTTCACCAGTATGACCATTATAACAGAACTTATAAACAAAATACAATAGTAGTAATTCCGGTGGGGACCATGGAAATAGTCCTTATGGACTAGTCCAGTCCATGGCCCAGACTGTCAAGTAGAAATTTACAATTTACAAATGTAGAATAAAAGAAAAAAATTAAAAAAATGCAGAGAAATGGAAGGTAATCCAAGAATTTAACAAAGCAAATAATGTTTCATTTCATATTTTCATATTTGTTTCTGTTGTTGATGTTTTTGAGGGAGTCTGGAAGTGAATTCCAGTGTTTTACTGCAGCAAATTTAAATTATGTTGTGAAACTGTAAGTTGAGCAACAGGAATTGACAAGTTACCACTAGACACTGAACTTGTGGGATAGCAATGTGGGTAATCATTAACATACTTATTGAGGCTATGTGCATATCTGTTGTGTTTAAGGTCGAAGATAAATAGGCAGGTTTGTAATTTACAAAGTTTGTGAATATCAATTATGCGTAATTGGATAAAAAGAGAAGCAGAATGTGCTTTAAAGTGCGAGAAGGTGATAAGGCGCACAACTTTTTTTTTGTAAGAACAGAACTGGTTCAAGAAGTGTTGGGTATGTGTTTCCCCAGATTTCAATACAGTACATTAAGTGTGGGAGAATAAGTGTGTTGTAAAGTAGGATAAGAATTGATCTTGGAACGAATGCGAGATATAATGCCCACTTTGAGACTAATGGTTTTCACAATGTTTGCAATATGAGAATTCCAATTTAGGCATGGGTCAATGGTTACTCTCAGATAAGTGGCTTTAGACACGCCCTCTATCAACGTATCATTGATTGCAAGCTGTCCCTCCACTTTTACTTATCTTTGCGGGGTTTTCAGGATCATATAGTTTGTTTTTTCTACATTAATTGTTAATTTATTAGCTTTGCACCACTGTACAACATTTTCAAAATCATTGTTAATATTAGAAAGATCAATAGTGTTAGTTTGCAGGAATTTAAATAAATGTGTATTATCCGCAAAGAGGTGGAAATTGAAAGCATCAGTAGAGTGGTGAATATCATTTATGTAGAGAAGAAAAAGTAAAGGTCCTAATATTGATCCCTGGGGCACCCCGTATTGAATCTGTCTGGGTGTGGATGCAGTTCCGTCAATGTTTACTGTTTGGTGTCTATTAGTTATATAGCTTCGAAACCATGAAAGCAGGAGACCCCCTTATATCCCATAATAAGCCAGTTTTTTAAGGAGAATATTGTGGTCAATAATATCGAATGCTCGTTTAAGTCAATGAATACCCCACATGTAAAAAAACCGTTGTCCATGTTGGCAGTGATATCAGAAACAAGGTCAACTAGGGCAAGGGCGGTACTGTATTTTTTTCCGAAAACCATATTGCGAGGACAAGAGTATGTTGAACTTATTTAGGAAACCAAGTAGCTGATGATTTACAGCTGATTCAAATATTTTACTGAATACGGGTAGAATAGATATGGGCCTATAATTGCCGACATCCAGGGCAGATCCCTTTTTATATACAGGTGTGATTGTGGCGAGTTTCAGAGAGTCAGAAAAAATACCTTGAGCTATAGAACAGTTAAGAATGTGCGCTAGAGGTTAATATACTTTACAGCATCAATTACAAGTTTGGGGTACACGTGATCATGTCCCATTGCTTTCTAATCGGTAAAGAAATTTCATAATATCCCGTCCTGTGATTGCTTGGAGGAAAAGGGACGACGGGAAATTCCCTGTGAGATAGTGATTAAAATTTACAGATGTGTGAATTTTTCTAGCTAGCTCAGGGCCAATATTTGTAAAGTAATTATTGAATTCATTTGCAATATCGCAACTTCCTGTCAAAACTTTATCGGGAGCATCACGTCGGTGATTTAAGTCTTTGAGGGGTGGTCATATTATTGTATTTATTTAAAATGCTGTTAATTGTTATCCAAATCTTACTCGTATTCCCATTTGCGGAAATAAATTTATATTTGAAATAACGTTTTTTTTGCCAATTTTAACAGTTTTGTCAGAATGTTTCGATATTGCTTGTATTTAGATTCGATATCTGTAGACGTCATTTCATCCCATGTAACGAGTGTAGGTCATTTAGACATGTTGGAGCTATAAATTCACGAGTCTGAATACGCTTGAACAAATTGTTCACTTGTGCCTGCACAAATGTAAGTTTGTAAAGACATGGAACCCTTGAGCTTGATACATTTTAGGATTCAGGATGCTATGTTCTCAGCCAATCATATCCTGTTTATTTCGACCAATCAGCTCACATTTTTGTCAACCAATCAGCTTCCATTCGCCAGCCAATCATAGCCAGCTTGTGCACACGGACTGTAGCGTCCCTACCTCTTTTGTTGTCTTTACTGGACTCGTCACATCCGACAATGTACAACACACACTTACATAAGGTAAGGTTCATGCCAGGTGCGGCCACGTATGTGCAGTCGGTCCGGCGAACCATTTATTTAACAAAACATACTAATAAAGCCGACTAAAAACGGCTGCCATTACATTGCATGTAGTGTTCAAATTGAA